GTGGGGGGCTCGGAAAAGAAAAAGGAAATAATAAAACATTATTTGAGATCATCTCTTCTTCCCCACTCCCTGGGCTGAGCCACGTTTCTCCGTATCTTCCTCCCTCCTGCCTCCGTCCGCACTCCCAGCACCGGGAGGAGGCACAGTGCTGAATGTGCTAAATTAGGCCATTAGAGAAATTCATTTCTCTTTATTAGTCTGTGTCAAATCCTTTTTATTAGTGGCTGGAAACGACCTCTCTTCTGCAGTAAAATGTCATGCCAGTTCACTCCTTTTATTTGTTCTGCACTGACGAGGCTCAAACTCTCACTGAATTAGTGCAGTGAGATTTATTTCCTCCAAATTTTGAACGGCTTAAGAGAGATTGGGGTGGAGGGGGCGGGCACGGAGGAGGCAGCCTGGGGGGACCGGAAGGGGGAAGGGGCCTGGGAGGGAGAAGGTGAGTTGCTTGCATGGAGGTCAAATGTCCTCAGCTCCTTGGAAATCGAATCCAATGGCCATCTTGTTTGTCATTTTCTGTGCACCAGGGACTGAGTCTCCACATTACTGCTTCTGGTTTTCGAAGTGGAAGAGACCTGAATGGTGGGAGGGAACTTCTGTAAAACCCACATGTTGCCTGGCATGGTGGCATATGCCTGTAATCCCAGGACTGAAGGAAGCTAAGGCAGGAGAATCACAAGTTTAAGTCCTGTCTGGGCAACTTAGCAAGACTTTGACTCAACCTAACAACGTGGGATGTAGCTCAATGCCAAAGGGTCCCTGGGCTCGGTCTCCAGGAGAAAAAAGCAAACAAACGTGTTTTGTGGCTGAATGTGTAGCCCAGTGGTAGAATGCTTGCCTAGCATGCACAAAGCCCAGGCCTCAACTCCCAGCAATGTATACAGCATACAGAGGCTCTGAATGGCCCAGTGCCCATGTCTGAGGGCAAAGCCTTCTTCATATCCTATCCTCATTTCATATAGAACCTTTCCTGGCCCAGGTTAATTCCAAAGTCAGCTCTCCCAGACCCTGCCTTGTTCAGGATGGTCCCAAGCCTACAGTTCATGCTACTGGAAATAACTCCCAGGGGTCCCTGCCAGCCTCTTTTCTGTTTCATAGGTAGATGTTGGGTTTTGTTTTGTTTTATTTTTGTGGTACTGGGGATTGAACTCAGGACCTTGTGCTTGCCAGGCAAGTATAGGGAGATGTTGGAGGGTAGCCTAGATCATATAGCTCAGCCCCTAGGCAAGGACAGATTGGATAACTGAGGAAGTAGCCAGTGACTCTCCTGTAATTGGAGTAAGAGTGAGGCCACAGCCCTCCCTACCCAGGTCTCAGGGATGGAGCCTGTCTGGTAGGTGGAGCCTTGTCTCAGCAGCCCTGTTTGAGGTGGCAGGTCCGTAGAGAGCAACCGGGTACACTGAGCGCTCTGGGAGCTCAGCACCAGCAGGGCATGGTTCATAGGAGAGCTGTGGATAAGCTCAGGCAAGAGATCAAGGAGGCAAGCAGGGCTCCTAGGATCATAGGAAGAAGCAGACCCTGGAGCCTATGGAGAGCAGAGTGTGAGGAGAAAGACTGGTGTGTAACAGCCAGCACAGTCCACGCCCTCCTGCCCCAAGTGCCCGCTGGGAAGGGCTGGCCATCCTGTGCTCCATGGACCCTTCATTAACATGGGGGACAGGTGGCAAGTTCCTGTCTTCCAAGAGATAGCAAAAGACATGGAAAACACCCCAAAGGGGCCAAGAGCGTAGCTCAGTGGTAAAGCACTTGTCTAGCAAGTATGAGGCTTTAGGTTCCATCCCTAGTACCACCAAGCCCCTCCACACACACACACACACACCCCTGGCCACGTAACTCGCGCATCTCACATAATCCTGTTCTGGGAACATCTGACAGGAAGTAAAGGAGGTTTATGAAAATGGATCTGTGCTGTGGCTCTGTACAGAAGGTACGTGTTGTTCCCAGGGGTATAGTGCCCCCAACTCCAAAAGCCCAGCTGTCTCAGTTCTGCCAGGTACCTCACAGTCTGACTCCTGCTGCCTTTCCTCCTCTGTCCCCTCCATTTCCCTCTTGCACACCGAGCTTATACTCAGCTAGATTTGCTTCCAGAAGCAAGCCGAACTCACTCCCGCCTCAGGGGCTCTGCTTTCCCTTTGCCCCACAGGCCTTTCCCTCTGCTCTTTGCATAACTATTCCTCTTCAGTCATGGACTGAATTAAAAGTCACCTCCTCACACAGGCCTTCCATGCCCACTCTCAGAAAAACTGCTCCTTCCTGTGGCACAAGAGCAGAAGTGAGAAGGCTCCCTCCTCATCCCACTTCCAGTGCTGGTAGCTCGGGATTCGGTCACAGCCCACCTGCTACTCACGCTGTGTACACAAAGCACACAACCCCACATACGCAGTCCACACAGATAGCACAGGGCACGTGTGTGCCATGCTCACAGCGCACGAATCTACCCTGGAGTTGCATACCTACTGAATAGACTACACCGTGTGTGCGAACACCCTGCCAGCCTGCCTTCACCCTCAGCGAGCACACACACGTGCACACGTACGGGCACGCAGCCTCACTCACACCCTCTCACCTTCCCACTGGGGAGCTGCCCGCCCTCCCCTCAGCCAGCAGGAAGGAATGCGCGGTGACCGCGTGGCTGCTGCAGGTTGGGGTGGGGGCTGCACCCCCACCACCTGGCACGATGCTTCGGATTATTAGTTCCTGGTAATTTAGTGCCCTTGTACAGAGTCGATTTGTGCCTTTCATTCCTAATTGATCTAGTGGCTGTTTAAATGGCAGCAGGCATCTGTTGAGAGTAGGAAGGTTCATAAGGCGCAATAATTCATAACACCGTCTGGAATTTGCCTTTCATGGCCCTCAGCTAAAGCGCTGCTGGGCTCTGCTTAAATTACAGCCACTGAGGCTTTCTTTGGTATTCCACTCAGGGCCAGGAGAATCTTGCATTAAACTGGGATCAGGCTAGATTAGACCATAATATGCTGCAGTACCAGTGGCTGCAAATGAAGACTTAGGCTGGAGTTTAACCCCTTCACCTGGTGTTCTCTTTGTCTTCAGCCGGATAGCCAGATTCACCCATTGTTTTCCCTGCTACTTCTCCACTGGGGCTCAGCAGATCTTCTGGTAACTTGGTGCTGTGGATGAGGCACCCTCACATACTGACTCTCTTTCCTGCAGCCCTGGGGCCCAGGGGTTTTTTCATCAGCCCCCCCAAAGCAAGGGTCAAGGAGATGGTGTCCAGGGCTGGCTCTGCCAAGCTTGGCAGCTCATGCAAAGTGAGAATTTAGCCCCTTCCACCCTCCACCACCCTGAGCCTGAGTTTCTGAAAGATGCATACAGTGTGTGTGTGGGCGTGGGTGGAGCCAAGCACCGTCTGTCTCTGTGCCCAGAATTGTTAGAGTTCCAGAAAGGGATAGGCACCTAGGGGTGCCCCTCCCACCTACAAACACTGAGTAGTCCAAATGTTCAGGTGTCTCTCAGGGTCTTCAGGGCTGGAATTTAACAGCCCATTCTGTTTTCTTTTTCAGTGCTCCTGTGTTCTCCACAGAGTAGCCACTAGCCACATGTGGCCATTTAAATTTAAATTAATTAAAATTCAATAAAATTAAAAATTCGGCATCTTAATTCCAATGGTCGTATTTCAAGAGTTCATTGGCCTCATGTGACTTGTGGTTATCCTGCTGGACAACACAGACTGCAGCCCATTTCTGTCACAGCAGGAAGTTCTGCTGGGCAGTGCTGGTGAAAGCATTCCCTCTGGCGGGGGCTCCAGGGGTCAGGTCCAGCCCGTGGAGTTTTATCAAGAAGAAAGCAGCTCAGTTTTATGGCCCAGGAATCTGAGCACACAGACCAGGAAAGGATCTGTGGCTCTCAAGGGAATGAAGGAGCCTTTCCAAGATCCAGGATCTACAACCCAGCCACACACGTGCACACATGCTGCAGAAATAAATATGGCAGACGCTTGTGCCACATGCAGAAGAAGCACGCGTACATGTAACACGTGTATTCAACAATGTTTAGGGAGCTCCACTTACCCCTGCTGGATGTCCAGTGGTGGTTCCTGCTCAGACTCCAGGTGAAAAAGTGGATGATGAAATAAACAATTTGAGGACTGATGACATAAGCTGGGGGGGGCAGTCAAGGAAGTGTCCAGGAGCTGGTCAGAGCCAGTAGGTGAGCCCTTCAGCTCACGAGCATTCGTTATAGATGCCCACATTCCTCAATCATGGATCAACTCAATCACTCACCAAATGTTTATTAAATGCCTGTCGTGAGCGTAGATGGCACAATCGAGGCATATATCGTTAACATGGGGCCCGTCTTGGGGGAAAAGAGAGATGCAAAGAATCGTTTATTTTCTCACAGCTCTGCTAAGGGTATAATGAGAAAAACATGTAGGGAGACATTACATATGTACGTGGGGCGTCTGAGCTAACTGAGTCCCCCAACCATCACTGATAGGTCTGTGTAGGCCAGTATTTGACTTCATACACGTACCATACGTGTACATTTGCAAGTACACAAGTGTGTGTACGTATCTACTACCTTTAGCTGGTTCTGGATACTGTGTGTGTGTGTGTGTGTGTGTGTGTGTGTGTGTGGTTTGTGATGTATATGTGTGAGCAGATGTGCTTACCTAGATGGCTCTGTGGGTCTTAGCTTGAATGTCACCTATAGCCAGTGTTCATGTCCAGGACTTCCCTGGATATTTCCCACATTTCCTTCCTGGACTAGAAATGGACTCCCCTTCTAAGAAGGGTTATAACCCATCACCTCTCTCCAAAAAGCCATGTAACTTATTTGATGGAAGAAAAAAGCTAGGAACCCTCAGAGGCCCTGGGCCCTGGGCCACTGGACTCTGGTCTTTCTGGGCTGCCCTTAGGACTTGGGACATTCTCAAGGAGCAGGAACTTGGGAGAAGAAGTGACAGGGATCTGGGAAAGTGAGTCTGGCCAGTAGCCTGGCCTCTCTGTGTGCCTGTGTGTGAGCTCTTGATGTCCCCGCAGGCACCCTCTTTTCCCGCTCCTGACGCTGCTGTTTGAGAAGTGTGAACAGGCCACCCAGGGCTCTGAGTGCATCACCTCCGCCGGCTTTGATGTGGACATCGAGAACTTTGTCCACCAGCAAGAGCAGGAGCACAAACCCTTCTTCAGCGATGACCCAGAACTGGACAATCTGGTAAAGACCCTCCACCCCACACCCTAGCTAGTCTTCCTACCCTCTGATCCCTTTAAAATGCCCAAGAAATGTTCTCTTCATTAATTCATCCAACAAAAAATTTGAGTGCCCATCATGGGGAAGGCTCCAGGTGCACATTCTAGTGCCTTCTAAATTCATAAACTAAGAGGCCTGGGTGCTGCTGGAATTCCTCCTGTTACTGTCCATGGTGGCACCAGCATCTGACATCCTACCACTCTGTGATCCAGGCAAATGGATCACAGAATGTCTAAGACAGCTGTTTCAAGGCCTGGGCTTCTAGCCCATTAACAGACCTGTCTGGACTTTCCCAGGGTAGGGCTGATGGCTCACATGTCACCATATGGAGGAAGCAGGTCACCAGCACGTGCAAGCATCAATAGAAAGACCTGGGGGCGCAGTCACGCTGGGAACACCATCAAAGGTCTTGAGCATTTAGGGAGCGCAGCACACCAGGCTCCCAAGCAGCTTGCCGTGCTGGTCATCACTGCAACATAGAAAGTGGCCCTCCTGGGCTGGGCCAGGGGACTGTGACTCTGTAGGTTATAGCATGCTGGGCCACTGCAGTCAATGGTTGGACTTGGTGACTCCCAGGTTGGATGACACCTGAAGTTCTGGGAGTTCTGCTGCAGTAGGGCACTAGAGAAGCGGTTCTGCATGTCCGCCACTCTCAACAGTCCTCCTGAAATTATTAACTGTAGCTCCTTATTTGTCTATGAGTGGATTACCCAGCTTATACACCATGCATTTGGAAATTGCAAACTCTTCTCTCACACACTGATGAGTAACAGAGCTGATCTCTTGCACCCAGAGTTTAGCTGGTGCTTGTTCTCAAAAGGAGAACAGAATTAGAAAAGCAAACATGATACTGAAAAGGAAGGAAGAAAAGTTATACACAGGCATGCGCGCGCGCGCGCGCGCGGACACACACACACACACACACACACACACACACAAAGTATCTGCAGAACAGATGTAAGTGACTTGGTGTTATTCTGGACTATGGGTTGTCCACACCGCTGCTTCCCTCATGAGCTGAATGTGGTACTTCACGGAGTACAGAAGTGCTCTGAGCAGGGCCCATAGTCTGGAGCACTGCAGTGGAGCCATCCTTTAGGGAACAGGATCTGCCTGGGGTCTGGGCCCGAGGATGAGTCCTCGTTATCAGCCTTGGTAGAGGCATCCAGAGCCCCAACTCTGCCTCTGCTCTCACCTGGCCTTTGCTTTTCCCTAGCAGGGATTAATCAGACTGACTTCCCAGGAGGCTGTACCTCGGTTTCTGAGATGCCTGGGCAGCTTCCCTGTGCAAGTTCTTCAGGTTGACTGTGAAGTGCAGCCTGGCCTGGCCCTGCCCCCCTCTTTGGCTGATCAAAGTGCAGTTGGAAAGCAGGTCCTTAGAACCCAGACCCAGGCAGCCATGGAGCCAGTACATGAGGCAGCCATTTCTGCAGGGGTAGGAACACCATCCCAGGGGTGGGTGTGGGGCTGGAGAGTAAGGGCAGGCTCACTCTTCTCACTCCATGTAGAGAGAAACAGGCTTACCACAAGACTGAGCGATGGGAAGCTTAAGCCTTCTTGTGATGGAGGAGTCCAGAGAAGCAAACCTCACATCCCTTGTCCATCTCCACTCCCTGCTGAGCTATGGAAGACCCACTAAACACAGCCTCCTGTCTTACACAGCTGGAAAGTCCAAAAGTGCCTGGCTCTGTGCCTTGCCCTTTCCACCCCTGCCTGGAGCTCTTGGGGTTCTGTTCAAAGAATCAGTCTGGGTGTGCTGGCACATGTCTGTAATTCCAGTACTTGGGAAGCTAAGGCTGAGGACTGCCCTGAGTTCAAGGTTAGCCTGGGCTATAGAGTGAGACCCTGAACCCACCAATTGAAACAAAACCCTCAGAGAACCAGATTTCCTAATTCAATCCAAGGAAACTGGCTTGAGTGGGTTGCTATAGGAGCAGGGGTGTGGTAGGAGCCACCCAGTGGCCTCAGGCTCCCTGCGTCCCTGGTCTTCCGTTTCCTCAGGCTGGGAGTGGTCCAGGTGATCGTGCAATCTTTAGTCCACTTGCTGTTGTGTCAACCATGGTCCGTGACTGGTTTATTATTGATTGAGTGAGTGAGTGAGTGAGTGAGTGAGTGATTATGAAAATGGAGAGATTTGAAAGAGCAGATGAAGGCAAAAGATCTGAGCCTCGCATCACCACTTACTATCAGTGTGACTCTGAACAATGAACTCCTTTGCAGCTCGGTTTCCTCATCTGTAGAGCTAATACACGTATCTCAGGTGATTGTCATAAAAACTTAATGAGGTAGTGTACAGAACTGGCCTTCAAGGTGGCTGGCATCCGGAAGATTAATCTCAAATGCATTAGTACTCCACCAGGCAAGGGGTTCAAGCTCCCCAACCTTACTTCCTGCCACCAGGGCCTGTGTGATTCGGACCTGGAAGCTTCTCTGGGGGGTGGAGCAGGGCGCTTGGCCGCCCCCGCTCTGGTCCTGCGTAGGGCAGAGAGATGGAGAGGCCAAGCACAGAAGCCATCATTAGAACAAGAATCATGTCGCCAGCACAGCCGAGATGCACATAATTAGAAATTAGAAAAAGGTCAGATCGCGTTATTACCAGCTCAATCAGCTGCCAAGTGCCACAGCCAGTTAATTTGGCATCTGTATTTTTTACAACCCCGCACACGTAGCCCAACGGACTGTAACTCTTTATCCGGACAGATATACTGCGAAGCTGAGCAGGGATATGAAATGAGGGACCCCAAGCAAATGAGCTGAGATAATTGAGAGATTTATTTTATATATATATGTGTGTCAGGGTGGCTTTCCTGTGCCCTTGAATATTGACTTTCATAGATGGGATTGTCAGGAGGGCACTTGGGTCCCCCAAAACTTGGCCCCATAGTAGGTCTCTTCTTTCTCCTCCTCCTCTTCCTTTTCTTCTTCCTCCTCTTCTTCCTCCCCACTCCTCCTCTTCTTTCTCCTCCTCTTCCTCCCCTCCTCCTCTTTCTCCTCCTCTTCCAGTCCTTTCCTCCTCTTCCTCCCCCCTCCTCCCCTTCCCCTCCTCCTCCTCCACGTCCTACCCCAGCCTCAGCCCCACTCTGGCCCTGCCCTGCTTCCTTCACCATCCATAGCTTGTCACACCCTCCCATGACCCTGCAGTCTCTTCGAGCTGCCTTTTCCAGACAAACCCCTTTGGTGAAAGGTGAGTTGGCTCCTGCAAAGCTGACCTGAAGAATAAGTGCTTGCCTGGAAAGTGCAAGGTCCTGGGTCCTGAGTCCCGAGTTCGATCCCTGGTACCACAAAAAAAAAAAAAAAAAAAAAAAAAAAAGATGGGAGACAGCCACAGGGGCAGATTTCTGAGGGGCTTCCCTCCCCTGTGAGCCTCCATCCCATGCTCCACAGCAGCCCTGGCAAAAGGGGAAAGGGAGTCCTATAAGCCCAGAGAGAAGCAGGTAGGCAGGTGTCCCCTCCCTGTTACAGACAGGAGTGCTGACACCCAGCCAAGTACTTGGCTGCTGGGAAGGCCCCGGGTGTGCTGATTCTGTGTTCCTTCTGCTGTTCCTTCTACTGGTGACAGTAGAGCCCTCACAGATCCAACAGTGCCACCATGACATCTCTCCTTTTAGCTCCCACCCCCTGACCCTCTGTACCTCTTGCCCTGCCGTGGAGGAAGCTCTCTGCACTCGTAGCAGCTGAGCTGGCATCTCCACTGAGCTCCCTGGGGACAGGGTAGCCCCAGTTCCCACGCCCCCACAGTGCTCACCAGGCCTATTTCTCACCTGGCCCCCAGATCCCCTCCTTGGACCCAGCAGCCTCTGACTGGCAGTTGGTAAAGTTTGTAAAATTTGCAAGTTCCCCAAACCCCTTTGAAAGGTAAAAGCTTTTTGTTTTATAAAATCTGATTTACAGGCCCCCGGTGCAAGGCCAAGGTTTTATATATTATGCAAGATTTCAAACTAAGGCTGTAAAACGTACGGTTTCAGTTTCATGCATGGAATTTTTTTATGTGTAAATTTTTTAACATTTATGGGGCACATTTTAATGAGACTCTGGTGTGGCTCAAGGGACAGATTACAGCTGCCTGACCACAAAGCCAGCTCTAAAACGGGCCCCCGGCCCCTGGGCCGTTGAGAAGAGGCAGGGCCAAAGGCCGGAAGCTGTGGAGGAGGAAGAGGAAGACCAGGAAGGAGGTGGCTGGGGCGCTGCGCCCCACCCGGGACCTCAGGCCAGGCCAGCTCCCAATCACTTCCAGGCTTTCTGCCTAGCAGGGAGCAGAAAGCCTCACAGACACCAGGAAAAGGAAAGGAAATAATAATCAACCTCGGTAATAACTAACATTTATAACTCACTTGCCAAGTACCTTTCTAAACACTTCACTCCTAGTATTCAACCTTCTTTACAAACCCACGAGGTCAGTATGAATGTTATCTTCATTTTTCACCTGCTTTCCATACTCAGTGCCCTAGGTTTGATCCCCAGCACTGAAAGAAAGAAAAAGAGGGTGCATGGGGAGGGAGGGAGGGAGAGAAACAGAGACAGAGAGATTGATTCCCATTTCAAGAGGTCAAATGAGGCTGGGCATTTGCCTTATATCCACTAGGTCCTGAGTTCAAATCCCAGCACTCCTCCCCACAAACAAAGAGGTGAAATCATTAGCACAAGTTCCCTTCAGCTAAGGTGGGGTAGAGACAGGGATCAAGCTCTAGCTTGGGGCCCACTAACCTGCTACTCTACCCTATGGCTAATCTCTCCTTGCACCATCTAGGAAGCTGGGTCTTACTTCATTTTTAGCCAGGCATCATTTAATCCACAGCACAACTCTGGGGGTGTCACTACCACCAGGTGCCAGGGATAGACTCCAGGGCCTTCCGCATGCATGTGCAAGTGCTCCTTGCTAAACTGGACCCCGGGCCCATAGGAGCCGTGCTTATTAGCCTGCTTACAAGTGAGGGAGCTGTTCAAGGTCTCAACAGAAGGGAACA